CCAAAGTCATCTAAGTCAGAGCCTTCTCCACCCCCACCATGGCCCCAGAGGGACTGTACAATCCCACACCTCCTTCACCCTGCTTCAGTGAGAAAGATGACAACCCCTTCCCTCTCTCTTCCCCATTCTGAGCTTCAAATGACGCTACACAGATTTACACACAAATGCCCCCCAGCCTTGGGAAAGCCCACCCCACAGGAGAGGCCCTGAGCCCCATCTCATGGAACCCAAATCTTCCTGTCATTCTGGCCATCCCACTACCCACAGCCTGCCCTGTCCCCACCATGTTCCTGCTTATTAAACTGTACGATCAGCCCCTCCTGCTACAGCAACAGGGCTTCTGAACTGTTTTATTGCTCTACGGCTCAGAACTGCTGAACTCAGCACTGAAGATTGCTTCTCCCAACGCAAAACAAGATGAATGAGCTGGCATGCACCAACCACTGCAACTCTGAGAGTGGAGACCTCTGCTCTGAGTCCCCAAATGAATCTCTAACTGGAAACATGGTTGTTTCATCTACGCAAGTGTGAGAATTGAGCCCCAAATTTTGTTTTAGTTTCTCTGGAAGCAGCTGAGCAAGTTCTTGCTGGAACCTTTCACACAAAAGCTTTGCAGCTACTCAGCTTCCTCCTGTTTTTCCCCTTGTCCATTTGCCCATTTAGTCTCCCTTGTCTGTGGGACAAGCCTGGCTAAGATCTCTGGTATTATACTTGAAAGTTACACACATACGTGCACACACACACACCACTGCCCTCACACGCACTACACACACACATACTGTACACTGAAGGCCCTGAGCTAAGCAATCTGGTACTTCTCAGCCCACTTGTCTCCTTTACTGACCTACTGGTCATTTTCTCCCCTTTAATACTGACCTTCTCTGGCCATCCTTTCCTCTGTATTTAGCATATTTTAACTGGCATCTCATGAAACATACAAAACCAAGGCAAGGCAGCCAACAGAAATTGCCAAACTGATGACCTGCACAGCTCCATCTTGCAGAGATTCCAATGAGCAGCAGTGTGGTCTCACTGTTCTCCCTGCCAGGTGGAGCTGGCTCCCTCAATCTCCTGGCCCCCTCTCCTCAGACCACCCAAGTGGCAAATCCAGCACCCTGACGGCGTGCACATGTTTTTGCCTGTTACCTATTAAGTGGACCTTGCTCATCACGCTCAGCCTTTCGTCCCCTCATAGAACGCAGTCTTTTCTCCCGTGGGTGCACTTCCTCCTGCTTTTTTGAGCTCAGTTAGGTGGAAGCCCCTGCAGGAAGCCTTCCTGAATTCCTCTCCATTCCTGCAGAGCTGCAACACAGACCCCTCCAGGTTCCCTTCACTCTTACACGTGCATCTCCCCCTGTTCTACCATGCAGTCTATGGGGCTAGGATTCAGTCATCTGTTGTCTCCAGCCCTTGGTACAGAATCTGGTACACGATATTTGCTCAATAATCATTAAGAAAAGACAAGAATTAGCAAGAGACACCAGTTTTTCTTCCATATCTTCTGCCCACCTAATTTTCCAAACCCTGAGAGCCAGCATGCAGATACTCTCCAAGTGTTAAGAGAGTCTCTCTTGGCATGTTTGCATGCAAAATGCTTTCACAGGAATGCTAAGAATGCTTCCTGAGCTAGGAATGATGGTGCAACATATGATCCCAGCACTCTGGGAAGCTGAGATAGGAGAACCAAAGTTTGAGCCCAGGATGAGCAACTGAGTGATTTATGGAGACCATCTCAAAATACAAAGAAGTGTGAAAGTCCTGAGTTTAATACTGCACACACACAAAAAGAATGTGCTCCTCCTCTTAGCTTCCATATGGTTACTACCTGCCTAAGGTATTTGCACATTAATTCAGAAAAACAAAATCCCCCTCAAGTTTGAAGATAAAAGCCCCAGCTCTCAGAAGGACACAAGCAACCTGAAGAGTTGTGTGCAGTACTTAATGAGAGCTGATAAATGCAGGCTAGGGCAGAACTCTGAACTAAGGACAACTGTAATTTCACTACTGTTATCCTAGTGAAAACCTCAACTTGCAGGGCTCCGATGGCCCCTGGGCTCCCTCTTCTGTCTGCAGCAGGGGAAGGGTGGGCCTGGCTGAGGTGGGAAAAAGAGGCCTCTGCAGAGGAGAGCTTGATGGGGTAGGTGGCAACCTATCCCCTACAGGCCCTGCAGAGAATGAGACCTATCAGGAAACAGGGACCACTGCTCCAGCCAACAAAGGCAGAGTAAGCCCAGCTGTCACAGACCTGGGTGGCCTCTGAGAACACAGGGAGGAGCAGCACAGGAGCACAGGGAGGGGAAGAAAGCAGACCTTTGTCTCCAGCAGAGGAGCCCACTCCCCTTCCCCAAGCTCTTCCCCTTCCCCAAGCTCTTCCCCTTCCCCAGGCCCCGTCAGTCACCCTCACATTAAGGACAAGTGTTTGTTGAGCACTTGTCACATGCCTGACTGCTGCCACTAGGACCCAGAACCTCAGCTGAGGGCAGGGCCACCTTTGTAGGACTGGATGCCGCGAGAGTCCCTTGGGGTCAAATGCCTAACAAAGGAGACATCCTGCTTGGGCATGTTGAACAAGGGCAGGTAATGTGGTTCCTGAAACCAAAATGGGGAAAAACTGACAGGCCGCCACCTGTTCCATGAATATTCTTTAGGACAGACAAGGAAATCTGTGCCTAAATCCGCAATACCTACCTCTCCTCTACTGGTAGGCATGCCCAGGTCACTACAGCATCACTCCAGAGCTGGCGGGGGGGCGGCTCCTGTGGACCTGTCTCTGGTACAGGAGAAAGGAGGGCCTAGGAAACCATCTTCTGAGCACACTTTGGAGCCAGAAGGGGGCCCAAGCCCCCCACAGTCATGGACTGCCACTTGGGCAGTCAGTATCCACCTAACTATCCACATCCCTCCTGCATCCCGGGAAGAAGTGACAGTCATCTGGGGGACAAGTGGTCTCTTACTGCTGTTTCAGGCTGATAGAATGTGGTTCCTTTTCCCTGAACAAATGCAGAGGTGAGGGGTGACTGAGGAAGGGACAGTAGGTCCTTCAGGACTCCTCCGCAGGTCTTGTCTTAAGGTGCTCCTTACCCCTATCATGTGGCAGTTACATTCTTCAGCCCTTAGTCAACTGCATTTAAGTCTTCGGGCTTCAGAAAAACAGTTCTGAGTCATTTGTCCCCACCACATCCTTACTAGTGCACCACAACAAAAAAGGCCACAGGCCCAGCCAAGATACCCACACACCTCGGCCAGCCCCTGTCCCCTGCCCACCTCACCCACTCAGGCCTAGCCCCAGGCTGCCCCTGCTGTGGCACCCTCCCTGAGCCTCATAGACTGAGGGGACCTTGCCTTGCCAGACAGTCACTGTGTACTTTTCTCTGACCTACAATTATGTCTGCTCCTGTAGCTGTGTATCCTAGACATTACAGGGCTCCTAGGTCAGTTCACCTGGGCCAGAGTCACTGCTTTGGACCAGGGAGTGAGAGTGAGAACAGGGAGAGAACCAGGGACCCAATGAATAGATAGAAGACCAGAACGGAGGTGCAGATGCAGCAAAAGGGGAAAGAAAGATACAACACTTCCGGCCCACGGCCATGGTATGTCCTGTGGCAGGGGCTCCTCATTTTTCTTTCCTCACCACAGAGGGGGTGGTGCCGAGAACTTGGGAAAGCCAAGAGGAGCCCAGCCCAGGGCAGGGAGGTGTGCCTGCACCAGCCATGACCAGGTGCCTGCCTCCGCTGCAGGCTATATCCCGCCCAGTGGGTCCTTGTCTCCTACCCTGAGGAGTGAGGGAGGAATGGCCCAGCCCATGAGGCTGGGCTGTGAAGGAGCGGTTGGCCAGACAGTAGACCCCATGCTGGCTGTGTGCAGTGGGGGCAGGAACGCCCTGCGTAGCTTTGTGCCGCAGTCTGTGGAGGGACTTTGGGCCAGCTGATGGTTAGGGTTGTAGCAGGCAGGGTGACGCCTGTGAGGTGGGACCTAGATGTTCTGTGGACCTAGATTTCCCCCTGCCTGTGAAAACAAGGGACCCTCTCTTACCACATTGCAGGGATTCACCTCAAGAGCAGTGGGCCAGGTACACTGCTGTGAGAGAGTTCAAGACCTGCCCTCCCAGGATCCCTTGAGGGGCAGGAGAGAGGGGAATCTGGAGGCTGGAGAGGGAGAGCTAAAATGGTGGTGAGGGAGACGGTCAAGGCTTTGGGCCCAATTGCTTATTTCTTCCCAGCTTCCCTCTCACTCCCCCAGCTCCGCCCACTCACAAGAAGTGGAAGACAAGCAGGCTTGCAATGCCTTTTGGGTTATAGAAGCTCCTTGTTTCTCACAGAAAAGCAACATATTCACTGTACACTAAAAGCCAAGTCCAGCCAGGCTGCAGCCCTAACCCTAAGACTTCTTTCTGTAGCCCAGCTTGGAAGGGCTGGCCCAGTTCTGTGAGATTCCTTCATTACATTTTAAGCAAGGATCCTAGGTCATGACTAACAGCTCAAAGTGACATTGATTCCTGCTGCCCATTCATGTGCTCATCAGGGTACATACACATAATACATGTACACGCACAGCATGCATACTGCACACATACAACACGAGTACACATAGTTCACACACAGCTCACATATCATAGACATGTGCACACACAGCATGCACACATGCACACACACAGCCTAACTGAGCCGAAATAGGACCTGTATATGCCCTGTTCCCTCCTCTCCAGTGTCTGTGAGGCCAACACCTTCGGCTGCAAAGCTCAGGTGACCTACAGCACCTATCGCCCCTTCTCTGGGATGACGGAGACCTTCCTCTCTTGCCTGGTATGTACAGGAAAGTAAGACAATATGGTCAGCGTGCAGTGTCCACAGCCCCCGGGTGCGGGTTCTGTGAGGCGAGGCGGAGCCTGCCCTAGGCCCGCTCTCCATTGGCTGGACTGGGCAGGTAACCAGAAGCTTTGCCGAGGCGCATAAATAAAGAGTGAAACTAGTACCACCTCCTTGAAATGGGCTGCTCCCTCTTCACCTTCGCCTTGGAAAAACCAGTTTGTCTTTTTTATTGTCTGTGATCTACCTCTACTCTAAAAATTCCACTGAACCTCGGACTACACTCCACGCTCTTTCCTTCCCAGCTGCCCTCAGCCCCTCTCCTCAACTCTGCTTCTCTTTGCTGTCCTCTCCTCCTTTCCTCCTTCCTTGAAGGGAAAATTGCCGCTGCTCGGGACAACCTGTGCCCAGAGCTGCTTTGGCCTGCACAAGCCTGTTAAACTGGTGCTCTGCTCCCATTCGCAGACTGCAAATTCTTTTCTTCTCCTCTCACACACATGACTCTTTAGCCATCTCCCTGCTCTGTGTTACTATTACAACAAAAAATGATTTGTTCTTTTCCATCAAATGCAAAGCCCGGCCCTGATATCTGAAGGTTGGGAGATGCACACGTACAGGTGAGTCTGAAATCTCTGGATTTGGGGGAGCTTTGGCAAACCAGAGCCAAGTACCTAGATTAGGAGGCTCATTGGGGCTGGAAAAGAAGAGTGGAAAGAGCCATTTTCATTGAAAGGCAATCACCACCTTCCTCTGAGGCTAAAGTAGCTGAACTTCCTGCATTTTAACCAAATCCCCAGCTGCTTCGGAGTTGTCCTGAGGATTTCCAGGATCCCTGATGGAAAACCTTGTTGATAATAGGAACTGCCATGGCAGGGTGCATGGTGAACAAAGCAGACCAAGATCACACTTCTGTCTGGTTGTGGGAGATTTCTTACACTAGAGGAACGGGGAGCCACTTTCAGTTAAGGGATGCAGGGTGCAGCCCTGATGGGGAATTCAAAAGCTGCTTCTGTCCTTTGGTTGTTGCATCCAAGCTGGTTGTGTTAGGACAACATGAGGGCTCAGTCCTGGGATCAAATGGGGGCAGGAGGCAGCCAGCAGCTGAAACTTCCTGTGCAGCCCAATACTCACATGGTTTGTTCGGCAACCCAACTGGATGCCATGTGGGCCAAGTAAAGGCCACTGGGGACTAAGCTGGCAAATGTGTAGTGGGGAGAAGAATCCTAAAGTCCAGCATGGGGCTCAGAGTGGGTCAAGAGTTTGCTACAGGCCTCTGTCATTTCCTGCCCCTGCCCTGTGTAGCTGCCTATCTATAAGGCAAAGGGAAGGGGAAAGGGAAGGGTCTGCTTGTTACTTCTGTGCTCGCTAACATCTGTGCCATGTGCATGGCCTTCCACAGTGACCTTGTCCTTCCTGCAGCACGCACCCCAGAGGGAAAGGATCCCAAATGTGGGCAAGGCTCTTGGCACACCGAATTGAGGGGCCAAAGAAATCAGTGCATCATGCGTATCTGGAGGGTAAGAGCGGGCACAGGTGGGTGTGGAGGAAGAACTGACCTATTTGCTTTGAAAGTTAAACTGAAATGCAAGTAGAAGCAAAGGCTCCTTCCATGCCAGAACTGTTATCGCCTACTCTCCCCGTCATTATTTATGAGAGTCAACAGACAGGCTTCCATCTTCCCTTTGAGTGAACAGTAGGTCCAACGCAGTGCAGCGAGGTTAGGTAGTCTAGGTGATTCATGAGCAGGCCACATTCTCTCATCTGTGATCTGGGAGTATTCCATAGAAGGCTGATCAGGAGAGGAATAAACTTCTCCCCATCAGCTCTCTGGCCTTCAGCAAGCCCTGTGTTTTTCCTCCTCAGACAAGATCTGCAGTTGAGAACAAAGAAAGTGGCGCTCTCCCCCCAGCAGGAGCTAGAAACCCCACACAGTTGTTTAAGGGCTTTTTTCACTGAGCTCCAACCCCTACCCCCTCTCCCTCCACCCCACCCCATCCCTGCAGCCCTGGTGCTGGCTGCCTGAGGAGGAACCAGGCTGGTGGGTAGACACTCCCTCCCTGCTTCAGGTCAGAACAAGCCCAGGAAGCAAGGATTCCAAACAACAAGGCAGATCTGCCTGTACCCACCCAGTCTGCATGTTGGTGCTGAGAGCAGCCTTTTATGGGACTTATGCTGAGCCCTGGGCATGTCTGGACGCAGCAGGGAAGCGGCCAGGGCGGCACGTCCTCCCCAGAGGGTTGGCGGGCATTTCTTTAAAGAAAGAACAGAAAACTCTGACCGTTTGCATCCTCCCTGTTTGGCTCAATCTCTGGAAGCCAGGGAATCCTGCTGTCTCTCCTCAGTCTGCATGCCCTTGCCCTGTGCAGAAGTAGTTGCCCTATTTTCAGGCAGGTAGGTTTAGGAAAGGACACAGGGATGCTCCCCTGTCCATTCCACCCCCAAGCTCAGATCCTTACCTACCACTATCTGATTCCACGCTGGCACACTGGCCTGCAGATGCCACCCAGGCCCCTTGCATAGCACTTTTGGAGAGGAACACACCTGCTCCTGCGTTTCACCTCAGGCAAGCTCAAAATAACTGGACTTTTGTGAAGAAGTTGCAGAATCCCTGCTTCTCTAGACAGGACCAACCATGCTGAGTTCAATATGGGAGAGGATAGCCAGTCCTCCAAACACATCAACACAGGGGAGGGTGCTCATGCACTTGTTAGGGGAAGCTGCTGTATTGGTGAGAAACAGCCCAGAGTGCCCAGTTCTTTGTCTCACTCTGAGCCAGGTACTGGGGTGTCTTAGGGAGTGAACTCCCTGCAGCCCCAGAAAGGATATGATCCTTAGGAGAGGATGTAATTATCCAGGTCCTCGACTTCTCCCAAGGCTGTGATCCTGAAGACAGATCTTTATCCAGACCACGGGCCTGTGTGCAGGGCCCAGTTGCCGTGTGACAGGGCCTGAGAAGAAGGTCCAGGACCATCCACGGGTTCTCTTGTCCTTCATTCCACCGGAGTCTGTCTGCGGCAACCAGACTTCAGTGGAGTGAAGCTCAGGAGTCGTGGAGCTGCCGACGACAGTCACTGCAGTAGTGGTAGCAACCTCAGCTGAGTCACTCTGGCCTGGGAACGTGAGCACCCATGAGGTGTGTGTCTGCTGGAAGACATCTGGAGCGCATGTTTTTCTGCAGAGGGGTGAAAAATGGGCAGATTGGAAACAGCACTGAGTTTCTTTTTTAATATCAATGCTATTGAAATTAGTGTTTTCTATGACATGCTAAAATTAAAAGTTGCCCATCTGCTATAAAAGTTCTCTGCCTCTGTGCTTCATGCTGTGAGATGTAACTTCCCACTTCCCATCCCCTGAATGCCAAAATATCAGACAGGAGCTGCAAGAATCAGCACTGGCTCCCTCTGCCTTTGGGGTATCCAGACAGGTGGATACCCCACAGTGCAATTTGCAATCAGCAAAGAACTCTGCTGCCCTCTGACACCCCACAGCGCCAGCAGAACCTGCAGAAGGGGGTAAAAAATTCTATTAAGATTTCTTAAACCCATTTATATTGTAATAAAATAAATGTAAATAAGATTTAAGTGAAGGCAGATTGCAGATATTTCAGACACTGTACAAGCTATATCTCAGAACATGGGTGTAAATTCTGCAAAGGTTAATGCAGTTAAACATATTTGACACATAAAAATGTCAGATCCAACATTAATCATTTGCCGATTGTAATTGCCTTTATATGGGTCTCTTCTCCCCAAGACATATGCTTGAAACACCAGTAGAAATCTGGGAAGAAAAAACCAAATAATACTTCTCAGCTGTCAAGGTCTATGATTTGCTTTGATAGATTTAGCGCTGATTCTAGTGGCTTTATGCTCCTGTCTGATTGGTATTTTTTTTTTTTACCTCCACATCTCTCCTTTAGAGAAGGAAAAGCATGGGACAATGGAAGTGGCCATTTAGGCTGGGGACAACCTGACAAAACTTTTAGTTAGCTGCTCCCCTTCCTCTGGTAAAGGGTCTCCCTCAGGAAGGCAGTCGAGCCTGCCTAAGAGACAAGCGCAAACAAAGCCTGAACCTGACAGGCCCTCAGAAACCCGATTTCACCTCCAGAATGTGCCCCAGGCAGCCAAACTCAGTAGCCCCCATGGCCAAGTAGCATTTTCCCAAGGAGCCTGCGGTAAAGGCAGCCCCAGCTTTGAAGACCGACCCCTGGCTCTATTCTTCTCGCCTTGTAAGGGGGAGGCTTCTCCCCATGATCCCCCACCCTAGAGAAAGGAAGCTCAGGTGGAGGCAGGAAACCCGAGGGATGCAGATGTATCCTAAATATCTTCCTTCTTGGAGTTAATACAGATTTAAAGTCTGGTCTTTGTCTCTCCACCCATTCATTCCAAACCTCAAAAGGGGATTAGGAAGCCAAGCCACAGACATGTTTTAAAACCCATTTACTCGTAAAAATTATGGAGTGAATTCAAGGGGGATTGGTGGTGGTCAGAGTACTGAGCAAATGAATCAGCAAATACCTCCTTTTGAGGTGCTCAAAGACATCCCAAGGTCAGAACAAAGAGTACACCAAGCAGACAGGATGTGACATTTCCATTTGCAGCTTGGTTTGAGCCCTCTGACCTGGAATCCTTTTAGAAAAAGAAGTGTGCCTGTGTATTTCTGTGTTACCACCTGAGGAGGTATGGAGTAGGCAGAAACTGTGTGTGCCAAAAACCCACAGGCAGACTCTGCACCTCTGGCACTGAGGTCCACTCAGCCTGTGCCCCACACCCCTCTCCCCATCCCCAAGGAGTGAGTATTCTTGACTCCCTTTGCAGATGGAGAAAGCCCCAAGCCCAGCCTGGAGCAGCCAGAGCCAGCGGGGAGCAAACTGCCCGTCCAGCCCCCACCTTTCTGTTTGTAACCTCATTGCAAACCACAGTTCTGCTCACCAAAAACACAACACAGAGAAAATGGTTTAATCAAAATTCCCATGCAACAGCAACAACAAAAAATGACATTACCCTGCTTTCTACATTCACAATCTTTTATTGAGGCGAAAGGCAAATATCATTGAGTCAGACTTGAATAGACAAATATATACAACCATTGGTAATTTAATGTTTTGTGCTAATGGTATACACTGTAGATGCAATCCAAGAGGGGTAAACTACAATCCTATCAATAATACATCACGTCTGGGCTCTGGTTTCCCAGTACAATGTGTATTGGCAAAGGCTCTCTGAATATTAAAAACCACACATAAGGAGGCAGTGGATGTTGAAAGTAGGAACTCTGCAGCACTGTGCTCTGGCTTTGGTATCAGAGCCTTTTATAGGGGAAGGAGTCCTTGATGCTGCTCCCAGTTCCAGCGCTAAATGAAGACATCTTACCCACATGAGCGGCAGATCTCTGGCTGGAGAACACCCTGTCACCAGGGCACTGATTTCAGGCTGCGTAGAGTGCTGCATCCATGGGGCTCCCCACAGGCTGTGATAAATGTCTGGGGTATCTTGGAGTGACCTCTGATGCTGGGCAAAGGACTCCAGAGAGCCCTGGTGCAAACGGCAACATCTGTAAGAAAGACCATGTTGCCTATTCTTTTCCTGACCCCAGCCTCCCCAGGATTTGTGGGAACTTGCAGAAGAAAAAAGGAAGGGAGGGAGGGAGAGAAAGAGGGAAAAAAGGAGGGAGGGAGAGAACGAAGGAAGAAGGGAGAGAGGAAAGAAAGGCAGGTAGGCGCATAGCTCACCACTGGATAAGAGCTGAGAGATACACTGTGGATTTAAAATGTTTCAGCTACTAAAATTTTGTTACTGCAGTCAAATTCCCTTACTCCCCTTACGCCAGGAGAAGCAAGTGGCAATAGTGTTTGAGAATGGGGGGTATTTCTACCACAACTGTCTAAATATGGACAAATTCTATCCTGTCTGCAAGACAGCCAGTTAGTGCCATAGACACACACTGGTCTACAGCCTGAGTGACAAACAAGCAAGGGCAGGAGGGGTTGGTCCTTCCTGGCCTCTTTTTTTAATCAGACCCCAAAGGAAGAAAGAGAGTCCAGTGGGGGAAGGGAGGCCAAAGGAGTTCCTGGGTAAAAAGAAGGGGATGCAGACCTTGACTCCGGCCTAGAGCCCAAAGATGAAAAGCTCTAGTCAGACAGCAGTTCTTTAGCAGAAATAGAAGCTTCCTAAATTGCAGAGCCCTGGGCCAGCGCTCTAGGCAGAGACACTGATGCATCAAAGAAAAAATCCCTTTTGTCTAGAGACAAGAAGCAGCATCTGGAAGTCTTGTCACAATCTCTCCCCCTCCTCCCTCAATCTCTCCACCACCGCTTCAGTCTGCTTTCCCATGAAGGGGTGAGGAAAGCCGTTTTCCCTGGCGCCTGAACAATAGCAGGGACGAGTGGGACATCTGCTGGGAGGTACAGGAACTGCACTCATGTTTGACCCAAGAGCTGAGGACACTGCTGCATGCTGGGTGAGCGGAGGCGGTGAGTCTAGCATCTCTCCAGATGTGATATTGAAGTGGACTTTTGGGCAGACACTGACCTAAATTTTGTCGGTGTTCAACTGTACTTGAGAAGAGATTGGTACCTATGATTAAATATAAGTAGATTCATAGCTGCACATTGTGACTCGCAATACAATGCCCTCATCACTTAAACTCCATGGGGAGTCCTGTTGAAGTTAGACACTGTCCCAAAAAACAGGGCACACCAAACAGCAGCGAGAAGTCCCCCTTCACAGCATCCACAGACAGGAAGTCTCCCCAATGGACTCTAATATGGGCTGCTCCAGGCAAACTCTCGGAGGTCCCTTGCCTGGAATTTCTGAATCAGCCTGTGAATGTTTAAAATGGCCATTTCTTCTTTGGTGCCAATCTGATCTAGCTGCGAGACTCTGGGACAGCCACTGGCACAAGGTCTTGTAGCTTGTAATCGTCAGAGATAGGAACCAAACCTGGCCTCATTTGGCTCTGGAGTTCACACTTGGGATCACTGCCCTAGCCTGTCACTTAACATTGGTGTGAGAGTTAGGGTGATATGGTTTGGATAGCAGAGTGTCCCTCAAGGATGGCCTGTGATGCTACTATGGACCTTTAGGAGTGGGCTTGATGAAAGGAAGCTGAGTTATTGGGTATATGTCCTGGAGGAGCTGTCAGAGGCCTTCTGCCTCTCTCTTGACTTCCCCAATTTCAGAAAGTGGGCAGTTTTATTCCAGCATGTGATCTCACCATGGGCCCAAAAACAACTGAGCCAACTGCCCACACAATGAAACTTGGAAACTGTAAGCCACAGTAAACCTTTTCTCTTTGGAAGTTTATTTTCCTCTAGTATTTTGTCACAATAACAGAAAGCTGATACAAGGCAATACAAGTGGAGGAGTTGGCAAGGGCTAGAGATTCTATCAACTCAAAAATTTTATTAAGTATTATAATCTCACTATCAAGCAAGAGTATCTTTAGTCTTACTTGGTACGCACCCTCCCCAAACAAGTAAACAGAGGTATGTTACATTTGTCTTTGGAAATCCAATATTACATTTGCTATGCAAGTAATCATAACTATGACCAGCCCCATCTTCAAGAAAAATTATCTCCTACCCATTCCCTTCATGTTAGTTTTGGAGTTGTTTTGTTTTGTTTTTTGCAGTACAGACAGTGTATGTGTCATCTTACAGGAATCTTGAGTTTTTTTTCTTTAAAAGAAAAAAGGCACGGCATAAATCAGAAATAATTAACATTCTTCCCAGGGTAAGGGTCATTTATAATTTTTACTCTCATTTTCCAGGACAGGTAGAAGGAAAACAAAAGGAAAATGATGAAGAGCTAATATACACAAAAAAGGTTTTGCATGCTCAAGAAAAGTAGAACAAATTAGGGAAATAAGAAAGCATGAATCAGGGTATGGTGGTGCACGCCTGTAATCCCAGCACTTGGGAGGCTGAGGCAAGAGGATTGCGGCGAGTTCAAAGCCAGCCTGAACTACAAAGTGAGTTCAAGGCCAGTCTGCATTGCATAGTTAGACCCTGTCTCAAAAAGACAAAAAGAAAAAAAAAAAGAAAAAAAAAAGAGGAAGGAACGTCAAAACATTGTGGGAGGAGGCTGCAGTGAGCTGCCAGGGTGCTGAACTCAGAGCTGGAGGAGCAGCTTCCAGCTGTAACCATGTCCATTCCTGTCCTGCACTTCCCATAGAGTCCCAAAGGGGGCGGCGCTGAAACCAGGAGTGTGTCTTCCCGCTGTGGCTCTGTCCCCAAGGTCTTTGCAGATGGGAAGTGGGTGGTTGCGCCGCTCTGCCCTGCGGGCTCCTGGCTGCGTATCCCCTCCT